CTATATATCAGAAATTAGGCCCTCACCAGTACCTTTATCTTAGACTTTCCAGCTCCCAGAACTATAAGCAATAAGTTTATGCCTTTTATTAGCTGTCTGGTTTACATTATTTTGGTGTGCCAGCCCAAAAAAAGACAGTACTGCACAATAACGAAATGCTAGTATCGCTAGGTTACCTTGTTTAGACAATCAAGTATCACTGTTCACTGTAAACTACCACTCTTCAGGTATAACAAAATGGTCATCCATTAAGGGAACAAAAGACTATTATAGGAGGCACATATCTACTCTAGGCGATTTTAGAGGCTACATGGCATACTTTAAAAACAGAATTCTTCACAGTACAAAATATTTATGTCTGGGGTTGCAGGTAAATTTACTTTATAAGAAGTGTTTAGAAACTTTATCACAAGTACGGTGGAAAAATGGAAGAAAGAAAGCAACCAATCTGAATAAATTAACTCTCATGTAAGAGTAACAATCCACAAATGTAGTTTCACATAATGCTGAGCTAGCTACTGCCATTTAAGCTTTGGCACAAATGTTTATCTTACATACTATCCTAGTTAACGATCAACATAGCCACTAGTCTAGTTACCTAACTGCTGCAACACCCTCATCTACGCAAACTATCAGGGGCTAAATGAGTGAAAGCAGACCATAACAGGTGACAGGAAGCCCTGATACAATCCAATTCCAGGCTGCAAAAAGCAAAGTTTGAAAGGAAGAGAAAGAAACCCTGGACTGAAGCCTTCCTATGTTGGGGCCATGAAATATATTTGTTGTTTAACCTCTTCATGTCATGCAGTCTGACATTGATAAGAACATGTTTCAAGTAGTACTATATTCCTCCTGTGAAAAAAAAAGTAAAGCACAAAACTTAAGATAACTAAACTAGGGGACATTAGTAACAAAAAGCAGGTCAAGGTTTCGACTCAGTTCAGTGTGACTGAAATTGGCATTTTCTCAATGTTTTCTTAAAAAGCTTTCAGTATGGCAGAAGAAATCATAGAGATGTAAATTTAGTCCTACCTCATCCATCATCCATGTAAGCCTCCAAAAGATAATAAAGTTTAGAACAATATTATTATAGTAGCAGCCAAAGACTTCTAATAAATATCACAAAATTACAAAACTAGTCAACTACCAACTGAAAAATATAACATCAAAATTAACTTTCAGGAATCAAGTTTTAACTAGAATACCCCTATCATTTTCCTGAAACTTTCTAAAATCTATTCATAATACATTAGTATTTTCTTGATGATTAAAAAATCTATATGAGTTCCCAGCCTAGAGTAAAAGGTATTTTAAAAAGATAGCAGGCCAAAGACACATAACATGTAACAAATATGTTAACCTTAGGAGTTATCACAGAAGCTATATTTTAAAAAAATCATGAAATTTGAATACTTTAAAACATCAAGCTATGTAGCAAATGACAAATAATATCTGACCTCTTCATTTTATAACCAAATAAAAAGCCATTCTAGGGGCTGGAGATTTAGCTCAGCGGCATAAGCGCCTGCCTTGCAAGCAGGCAGTCGTGAGTTCGATCCCTGGTACCGATAAAAAAAAAAAAAAAAAAAAAAAAAACTGAAAAAGACCAAAAAAAAAAGCCATTCTAAGAGCTTTTGTATCCAAAAAGGAGGAAAGCATAATCTGATATGGGTGATTAAAAAAGCCAAAAGGTTTCCAAGTCACCAGTAACTACATAACTGCAATGGTTTGAATGTGAAGCCCAAAGTTCTTACACTGAAAACTTAATCTCCAATACAATATTGTCAGGAGATGGGGCTAAAAGGTCATTAGAACTTGTCCTCTACAGATTAATGTTGCTATGACAAGGATCCACTACCTACCACAAGAGAAAAATTGTTATAAAAACTACTTTGACTTTGCCTTGCTAGTTTTTCATGCTTTCTCACTCTATAACCTCACCTTTCTCTCTCTTTCTCTCTCTCCCTTGCCTTTGTACCTTCTGACATAGGATTATATGGAACTAAAGCTCTCATCGGCTATTAGACTCTTGGATTTCTTGCCTACAGAACTACAAATCTCCGTTTTTTATAAATTATCCAATGTCACGTGTTCTATTATAGCACAGAAAATGAACCAAAATAAGGTTCTAACTAAATATAGCTTAAAAATAGCTTTCTGGCAAGTACTACACAGAAATGACATAAAAGATACCACTAGAAGACAGATGCATACAATATGCTATATTTTCCACTACATTTGAATTCCTCAAATCTATTTCTAGAGTCTACACAAGTTTTATAGCAAATGTAAAATTTATCTACATAGGTGCATGGTACTTAGTCAAAAAATGACTAAGACAAAAGCTTAGTTTCTTTTGAGAAGAGCAGATGTGTTGGGCCTTAATTGTTTGTTTCACCATAACTCATTTGAGTTTTAAAATGCTACAATCATTGCCCTCATTTGCCACATGAGAAAATTTCTTCCTCTGATAAACACTAGAATCCCACACCTATTTTAAAATTTATCCTACTTAATTCAGAATTAAGAATGTTCAAATATCTTGCTACTTCATGTAAAATGGTTAAGTTCGTCCTGTTGATAAACTAGATACAATTAGATATTTTTCCTTTTTCAAGACCAGCTAAAGGACAAAACTTAAAAAGGAAGTATAACATCAGCAGAAACTGTACAAGCATTATATCTCTAGCTATATCAAGGACACAAAAGCTTTATCACCAAGATACACAAAGACAATGCTGCCATCTAAAGGCCAAAATATAATATGAAAAGATGTTTGCTAAATCAAATACTGCCAAAGTACAAAAACCAAGCAATCTCCAATTTCAATTCAACAAAGTTTATATTTAAAAAAATGAAAAATGCCATGTTATGATTTTCTAAAAACTATTAAATGAAGCTAGAGAACTTGAAGAAAACAGTTTGGCTAGCAAAAGTAGAATTCTTTTGGTATTCTTTCAGGTATACTTCTAAAAACTTTCCTTAGTTGCTAATATAAAATACCTGTTTTTAAGTGATCAATACTACTTCTCAAAATGAAAATAGCTAAAATGCTAAAAATTGCAGTTTAGCAAGTTACTTAAATACTTCTTATTTTGCAAATTTTAAAAATAAAATGTAAATTTCCTATGGGAGATTGGTTATCAATAATTTAGTTATCCAATCTAGAATCCAATTTAGAATCTTACTGAATTGACATTTAAGATTTTGTCAAATTGCTTCAAATTCACAAGGAAATTAAAATGTTTAAAAAATTATACTAAATTCTGAACCAATCCCTTTAAGTTAAGATGTTAAGCAAGTAACATCTTTTTAATGTACAATATTAGATAAAAACTAAACTGAAAGTGAAGGAAGACGTTCAAACAGTTGCTTCCTTTAGGAAACCACCAGCTAAAAACTGTTTACCAATAAAGAAATATTTCTCCATCTTTACACAAGAAAACAAAGACTAGCCAAAATGAAATATTTTAAAGGAATAGAAACATGTTAAGTTGAGGGTTACTATCCTTTAATTTACCTTTAGTGCAAAGTAGAAACCAACAGTTTAACAAATTTAGTTGTAATATCATAAAAACTATTAGGTTTTTAGTAGTGCTAATAAAACAGAATTTATGCTATGTGATTTGAACAAAAAGACAAATGTCAATAACTTCTCCATTCATGAATGAGGTTTAAAGATGTTAAGCAATTTTTCTAGGATTACAATACAGTGAGTAGACACCAGGAGTCAAAATTCAGCATCTCTGACGCAAAAGACCTAACATAATCATACAACCTCAAGTGAGTACATTTAGATTAAATGTAAAAATGTGTATGAAGTAACTTCATTACCAATGTTCAGGGTAAAAATATTCTATGTGGTTTTAAAAAATCATTTACTTTTAATCATATTTCAATTTTTCTAAAATCCTTTTTTAAATAAGTATTATCTCACTAGAAGTACTAATACATCAAAGAACCTTTCCAAACTTAAATTTATATATTCAATATATTTATTAAATATTATCAAGTGATATATAGTAATTCAAAATGGCAACAAAAATATCTGTATTTTTGAGATGCACTTAAATTTTCTTTATAAATATGCTACACACATAGGACCAGCCTGGCAACATTTTAATTACACTATTTTTCAATATCGAGAATTTCTACTCAAGCCACCTGTATGACAGTTTTTCCTGATAATTTCTATGGTATATTTTCTAATGAAAATCAAGTGACTTTTAATATTATTTAGCCACAAAAAGGAATGAAACTCTGATACAGGTTATGATATCAATAAACCTCAAAAATATCATGTAAAGAAAGAAACCAGACATCAAGTACCACATATTAAATCATTCCATTTTTAGGAAATGTCTGGAAGAAGCTAATTCACAGAAACAGAAAGGAGATTAGCAGCTGCCAGGTACTAGGAAGAAGGAGAAAGCGGAATGATGATTACTGGACAAATTTTTTTCTAGGATAATGAAAATGTCCCAGAATTAGTTACTGGTGACAACTGAACAACTTAATGAGTCATATACTTTAAAAGTGATTCTTATGTGAACTACATCTCAATAAAAGAAAAAAGAATATTTTTAAGACTATTAAACACAAGTGTCTGAATTACAAATGTGTTTGCTTACCAATAAAATCTAGGTAATTATCAAGACTATCTGTCCCAACTTATTGAATCCCATTTCTATCATGCTAAGTAAAAAGCTCTATTTCACAAATGTATACTCCTAACTTTATATTAAATCTTATCTAAAATAACTGTAATTCTGAGAGCAATCAGAAAAAAATTGTAACTACAAATATATTTGGTAAGCCAATTTTGTATTTTCCAACTTGCCTACAATTTACAAAAGACACATTAGCATATGTTTAAGGACTTTAAAATCAAGAACCACATACAAGCATGTATTTGGCTTTAGAATAATTTATAAAATCATTATTTTGAGAGGATATTTGTGTTTTCAGTAAGTAGTATTTGTCTCTCAACTACCAAAACAAAATGCATTAGAAAATGTACAACTAAAGTTTAAAGAATTCAAAGGTCAGAAATTAAATGAACAGCATGAAGATAAAAACAGGTACTTACTAATTTGTTTTCTTGCAGGTATATTCTTTGTAGTTTCAGACAGCCCTTTGCTATGACGATCATGCCTTCATCTGAGATCTTGTAACACTGGCCAAAATGAATATCTTTGAGTTCTCTGCACTTTGATCCCAGCTGTAAACAAAGGGATTTGGCTGAAAGCTCAGAAAGTAACAAAAACATATACTATACTAGGATTTTAAGCATTATCTGAAAATCATACCAGAGATAAATACTTACTTATAAATTACTTTTAAAAGGAGATAGAATAAATAATCTAGAACCGAAAACAGTACAGTATTCATCTTTTAACTTACATGTTTCAATAACTTCATACTAGATGTCCATCAAGTACTTAGATTCCTTATCATTCAAATTCACATTCTATTTCTCTTGAGTCTTAATAGTGGAGAAAGACGATGGGAGGAACAAACTAAAGGTGTAAATTACAGAGTATTCAAAAAATTTAATATTATACTACCATTAAAATTCAAATAAAAATTGAGAAAAATAAAAAGTTATTAAAATTTTAAATTATAATCCAATTTTATAAAGAAACGTATATTTAAATTTACATTCACGTATGAGAAAAGAGACTGCCAGGTTTACCAACAAAGTGTTAACAGTAGTTATTCCTGATGAGTGACTATGCAGGCTATTTTTTCCTTTCTATCAATCTCTAATTTTTTAAACAAATAATTTTTTAATGAAAATGTTTCAAGTTCTATTTCAAAAAAAGTGATGATAGTAGAATATATAAACTCATTTACTTTTCTAGTGACAATAATAAATACAAACTAGGCTATTCTAATGCAGGCTATACTATAATCAATAAATCTTCCTTTGAAATATAAATTCCATGAAGACAGGAATTTTTCTGTTTTATTAAATAATATATCTGTGGTATCTTACACTTATCTAATATTTAATAAATATTTGTTGATTGGGTGAAAATGCTAATCAGGGTCATGCGTGTAAAGAGTTCTCTTGACGATTTTTCCTTCAGTGCTGGGACTTGAATCACCCAAAGCCTTGTGTACACTAAGCAAAACTGCACCACTGAATACATCCCCAGTCCTGACAGCTTTCTTAAAATGAGTAAACATAGAAAACTATGATTGTGGTTTCACATACCGCTATGTCCTACTCAATTCATAGATCTAACCTGGGTCCATGGACAGCGCTCAAGTTCCCAGGAGAGGTGATAAAGAATTTGAATTTATCTTCACATTCTCGGTTAGCTACATTTATGACCCTAAACAAATCAAATATAATTTCATATTTCACTGTCTGAAAATATCTAGCAATATCATTTTTTTCTTATTAGTATTCATCACACTCATTAAACCATCTACCCGATCTTAATTCATTACAAGTGGTACATATATTTCCAGAACTAATGTACATGACTTAGATCTCAAAAGGCTGAATCCAAAACCAATATTGGCAAAATCAGAACAGTAAGTATGCTACAGACAACAGGTTCACATACGTCGGGCTACAAGGTTGACCCTGGGAATAAAACCACTACAACTCTTGAAAATCAGCTTAAGTAGCAGTTAAACCCTCCAATTACCTCTCCATTACTGCAAAGCCTGACCTTGCACACATCACATAATGGTCAAAGACTGGAGCTCCTGGGGAATTTCGGACTGGTGTACATCACACATAGCTGGGAACAGAAGCATACTGGTGAAAATGTGGGGATTACGCAAAAGTCTATGATAGTGAAAATAGAGTAGTCCAAATAAATAATTGTATTCAATTTTCAAGGATGAAGGGATATGAACTTCCAAACTGAAAGAGTCATCCAAATGTCTATCACAAATGATAGACTTATGGCAATGCAAATTATCATAAGACTCTATAATCCTAGCTATCAACAAGATTCCATGAACTTCCAGAGAAAAACAGATTTCATGAAAAGGATTTCGACTTTAAAATGCTCCGAACATCTTACCAACAGTAAAAGCAACAAAGCAATGCCATCAAATTCAAAAAGAAAACTATTTCTAATATAAATTGATTTAGACCATGAATTAATCATGCTGGTAGAATTCAAGATATTTACAGATACAGAAGTTCTCAGAATATTTATTTCCCATACACTTTTTATTAAGATGTAATTAGAAATTGTGCTCTACAAAACATGAGAATATACCAAAAGAAAGAGGACAAGACCTCTGCGTAATGAGATCTACCTCAACATCAAAATAAAGAACAACTCTGGTTAATGCTGGAGGTAAAATATTAAGATGACTTATTAAATGCAACAACATTTACATGTAAGAAGTCCAGACTAGTACCAGGCGTGGTGGCATATGCCTGTAATCCCAGCACTCAGGAGGCTAAGACAGGAGGATTGTTGCAAGTTCAAGACCAAGCCTGGGCTACAAAGTGAGCTTAACGACAGTATAAACTGCTTAATGAGATCCTGTCTCAAAAAAAAAAAGGAAGCCCAGACTAGACCGCAAAGGTAAATAGATATACTACTACAACTGGAAATCTTGGAACTCCGTGTTAAGAGAATACAAGGAAGCTAAAGAAAAAAAAATTATTAATTCCAATAAAACAGAATTTTGTAGATTGAAAAAATAATGGGCAAATGATTTTGAAATGTGAATACAAAATACTTAACAAAATGAAAATTATGACGGAATTAGAGGATAAAGAGACAGAGAAGGATAAATTCACTAAATTCTTCCATGGCTAGAAATCATCTATAGCCAAAGTAGACTATTTATAAAAATACAAATAAACATGACAAAAATACTTTCTCCATCTGGAGGAAGTCCTGTTAATCTAATTCCTAGCCTTAGCACTAATTTTTATTTAATAAAGGAAACATGTTCATTCATCTCCACACCTCTCTTTAGCAACAAATTGCCCAGACTGAATAAGTAATCCTCACTTCTTTAATAGGAGCCACTCTGCTGGTCTGGTCTAGTCAATGACTAAGTCATCTGGTCAAATTTCAGAGTCAAGTTAACAACCTCATTTAGCTCCATCTAGTAAGCAACATTCTCCATCTTAGAGTTTCTGAGTAATAAGGTTTGTGTTTTTTTTCTCTATCACTATTTCTCTTATTTATCAATTTTACCACATCTTGTGCAATAAAAGACAGATCTCTTGAAGAACTCAGTACCCAGTATGTCAGTAATAAACAATGAGAAATAAAACAGAATAAACATGTAAGAAGTAACTGAGCTTTTCGGCTGAGTCTCAGACAATACTGTGTGCACAAGTTGGTAGAACCTCATGTTAAGACCTATAAATCACACTGTTATAGACAGAAAAAAGATAAACTAATTACAAGATATGCTGACATCGTATGTAGTTTTGTTGGCTTTATCCACAAAGAAATTACTTTTCAGAGGCAAGACACATTGCTAATTATACAAAAATAGGACCATGTGCACGATAGTTGCAAAATGATCAGCATACATGGTAAAGCTAATAATGAAGATGCCTCAGAAGACAAGTAATTATGACACACTACTACTGAATATAAATGTCATTTAATATCACTACAGAAACTAATGTTTCATTTTAGATATCACTGGAAAAATACATTACATTATCTTCTAAGTAGTCTAAACTCTAGACTATGCAGGCACATAAAGTCAATAATTACACCCAATGTATTCTCAATTTTGCTGATAACTTTCAAATCTCTACCTGTTTACAACCCTCAGAAAAATATTCAGATGGCTGCAAACAACCCATGTGAAAAATATCCCTGCACTGCATACAGGGCACACACCTGTAATCCCAGAGCTCTGGTAGGCTGAGGCAGGAGGACTAAAATATGAAGCACACCTTGGGCAATTTAACTACTTAGCAATACTCAGAAAGAAAAGAATGAAATGAAATGACAAGACCCATCCAACCCGACCTGACCCAACCCTGGATAGGCTAGGTGGCTATTAGGGGTTTAGCTCAATGACAGCACTTGCCTAACATATAAGACCCTGGGTTCAATCCCTTACACTACCTAAAATACAAAGAGAAGCTACAGTAATTTCAGAAAGGATAGACTTCATCACAAAGAAAGTCTGCAAAGAATAAAAAAAAAAAAACCATTATATTACACTCCAAAAAGACATGGCAATCTTTAGGGTATGTACACTAAAGAATCAAAATAAATGCCAGATGTAATGGTACATACCTATAATTTCAGCATTTGGGAAGCTGAGGCACAGGATCACTATGACTACAAATTCAAAGCCAGCCTGGGCTACACAGCAAGTTCAAGGCCAGCCTACACATGTCAGAAACTTGTCTCAGAAAATAAACAAGATTCAGAGTATGTGAGGTAAAAAATTAAAGAACCACAGAATAGTTAGATGAATTCGCCATAAAAGGTAAGATCTCTCACTATATGATCCAGCAATCATATTCCTTGGTTGAAAAATTATGTCCACACAAAATCCCGTATACAGAAACTTATAGCAACTTTATTCATAACTGCCAAAACTTGGAAGCAACCAAAATGTCCTTCAGAGGTTGAAAGGATAAATAAACTATAGTACACACATATAATGGGATATTATCCAGTGCCACACACACATATATATATATATTTACTATGAAAAGACACAGGAACCATAGGATAGTTAGATGAATTCATCATAAAAGGTAATACCTCTCACTATATGATCCAGCAATCATACATGCATATTATAGCAATTATAAATGCATATTACTCAATGAAAGAATCCAATCTGAAAAGACTACATATTCTGTGATTCCAATTAAAATCAGAGTTATTCTGGAAAAGTTAAAACTATGAAACAAATTTAAAGATAAGTAGTTGCCAGAGGTTAGAGAGGAGTACAAAAAAAATAGGCATAGAACCAAGGACTTTAAGGCAGTGAATATACCTCTGCATGATACTATAATGGTACATACATGTGATTGTATATTGGTTGAAACCCACAAGACATGCAGCATCCACAGATAAACTATGGACTTAGGGAATAATGCTGTTTGATGCCAGTAAATGAGCTACAATAAGTAAGTTACACTGATGGGAGATGCTGATGAGGGAAACCATGTACGTGTGGGAACGGGGAGTATATTGGAATCTGTGCCTCTCTCAATTTCCCTATGAATTTAAAACTGCTGTAAAGTAA